TCCTCGTTAGTATAGTGGTGAGTATCCCCGCCTGTCACGCGGGAGACCGGGGTTCGATTCCCCGACGGGGAGGCATTTCCTTTTCGTTCTTGGAAATGTTAAAAGTTAGACTGCACATGATGGGAACGTCCCATATACACTGCTCAAAAAATAAAGGGAACACAAAAATAAGACATCTGAATGAAGGGGAGGCATTGCGTTTTCCTTCTTAGAGATGTTAGTCAGACTGGACACCACTGGAAAGGTTCTCAACTATTTTAATGTTTCAGGGTTTCCTTTAACAGACTAAGTAATAAAATAATATTAACACTCATGACAGTTAGTGATCTTTTCTAAACTGTAGCCTCAAAACTCCTCCTGGACAACGCTTGGAGTGCTCAGGTAGGATAGAAAATTGCTAAGTGCTAAAGAGTCAAAGTAACAGAGCATAAAACACAGAAAAACATGAAGGAGATTTTCCTGGCCTGGTCGTTTTATAGCAGATAACCTTAAAAATATTCTGCAGTAGAACAAAATCTGAAGAAAACCACGAATCAACATATAAACATTATGCTGCTGAAGTGAAGCAGAGCAAAGTTACAGAGGTTTCATTAGAGACACAGCTAAGCATTCTGCAATTTCGCATAATTTTAAAAAGTTTAAATTTCCTCAGTACTGAACAGCAGAACTGAGACTTTCTTGTGGGAAGTCAGTTAAATTAAAAACAAAAACACAGCGGCGGACAGCGCTGTACATAACGGTAGACTTGTGCGTAATAAGCAAGCGAATAATGCAGAAAACAGAGATTTTTAAATGGGGAAACTGTTCTTGAAGTACACTGAGAAAGTAAGAGAGCTGTGCATGAAGCGTCATTTTACCATGGTGGAAGCAAAACAGCAAAGAAGGAATACATGACGATGTCTATGTGAAGCGAAATATGAAGCGTAGTTTGGATCTTCTTTTGCTGCTGGTTCAGTCAAATTTGGTTGGAGAGAGACAAAGCCTACAGCTGCAGAATCTAGCACAAAAAAGATAAACACAAAGCGCGGACCGCCAAAGCAACAGAATCTGTGAGCTGTCGGCTTTCAGCCATGACGGCGTTTGGGTGAGGAATCACTGATTCCGATGCGTAGGCGGTCTGC